ATCTACTGTCAGAATGGTTCGTCGGCAGGATCGGTGCATGAAGCATGGGGATGGTGGAGCCTGGAGACCGGTACTTTCTCTTGGGGACTGAGTCCAGCTGAGTCATCAGCAGTCACATGTTGGTGTCGTCATCCTGCGGGACATTTTTCTGGGTCACCCGCCCATCTGAGGAGGACAGAACCTGCTGGGTGGATTCTGAATCTAAGCTGAATGTGCAAACTACTCCCAGGCGACTGATGCCGACACAGAAAGGAAAGTCTCCAAGCCGGAACCCTTCAGGCCTTCCCTGAAACCTGAAGCCAATCTGGGAAGAGGCCCTAGCAGTCTCTCGGATTCCAGCCTGAGTAACAATGAGAGGACCCGCAGGTCTTCAAAATGTTCTGGATCCAGCTGTATTTTTATATTCCTTTCCTCAGCTGTTAAAAGTAAACATGAAGATCTCGATCTCTCTCTCTCTCTCTCTCTCTCTCTCTCTCTCTCTCTCTCTCTCTCTCTCTCTCTCTCTCTCTCTCTCTCTCTCTTTCTGTGTGTGTGTGTGTGTGTGTGAGAGAGAGAGAGAGAGAGAGAGAGAGAGAGAGAGAGAGAGAAATCCCTTTGCCTTCCACCTCCACACACCTTTCCAAGCTTTTCATAAATGCATGGTCTTAAACTTGGGTAGTGACCTCAGTATCTTCCCGCCTCTCTTCCTCTGGGTAAGTATCAGGGAAATAGTTTTGACATTTTATTACTGTCATTTCAAAATGAAATTTCCTAATTGCTTCCAACTCAACAGGTTCACTTCAGTCCTACACAGAAGACCAAACTGGGGAAGCTCAAGGGAAATGCAACTGGGCCCCAGGCTGGCCCCTCCTTTGGTGAACCCCTGGAATTCTGGGATAGGTGAGGGACAGATTTAGGGACAAAATCACTCAGACTTCAAGCTGCCCTTTGGGGATGAACCCCCACTGAGACCCTCTGTGTGTGTGTGTGTGCATGCGTGTGTGTGTGTGTGCACGCGTGTGTGTGTGTGTGTGTGTGTGTGTGTGTGTGTGTGTGTGTGAACTTCTTTATCCAGTGCAGGAGTCTCCCTCTGGGCACCCTTACTTTCTTCTCAACTGTTTAAATCTTAAATTCAAGGCAAAATTCGGGTAGTATAAAATGGACTGTTTTAAATAAACAGCCCAGTGGCACTGAGTGCTCGCTCAAGGCTATGCAACCACCCAGTTTATCTAGTTCCAACACATATTAATCACCCCAAGGAAACTACCCATTAGCAGTCAGTATCCCTCTCTCCACTCCCCAGGCCCTGGCAACCATCAATCTGCTTTCTGTTTCCAAGGTTGAGAACTGGTCCTCTGTGACCAGCTCAATGTCTGAGTGGCCCTATCACATTCCCTGCCTGACACCTGGCTTCTTTCACTTAACATGTTTTTGAGGTTTGTCTATAGTGTAACATGCATCACTGCTTCCCTCAAGACTAAATGGCAGCCCATGACATGGGAAGGCCATGTTATGCTCATCGTGTCTACAGGTTCACACCTGAGTTGCACCCTCAGCCCCTGGCTGTGTCAACAGTGCTATTGGGAACATGTGTGCACACATACTTGCGTGCTGTCATTCTAATCTTTCCACAATACCCCAATCCCATCCCAAGACTCTGCAGCCACATCACTTCCATGGCTTCCGTTATGCTCATCGTGTCTACGGGTTCACACCTGAGTTGCACCCTCAGCCCCTGGCTGTGTCAACACTGCTATTGGGAACATGTGTGCACACATACTTGTGTGCTGTCATTCTAATCTTTCCACAATACCCCAATCCCATCCCAAGACTCTGCAGCCACATCACTTCCATGGCTTCCCGCCTCTCTTAAGACAAAGTCCAGACTTCTGAACGTGACCCTGGAGGGGACCCCACCACCCCCATTCTCCAGATCACATCCCACAACATACTCTTGCCTGACTCACCTGTTGTTCTTGTGTGTGCTAATGTTTGTTCTTGTCACTGAGCTTCTGCATATGACCCTTCTTATTCTTATTCTAGAACCTTCTTCTCAGGTTATTGGGCAACTACATTTGATGATGGCCACTTCCTTATCTCCCTAGTAGGGAGAAAAGTCCTAGCCCAGGGCCCATGCTGACACCTCTAGGTTTCATGGGAATAGCTTTCAGTGGGAGTTGGGGGTTATGCTTAACCTCTGCTGCTATATCCCTCAGGGTGGTCCAGAAACACCTTGAGGCCTCCCCAGAAATACATCCTGTGTCTTCAAATAGACCCTGCTACCTGAGGGAGCTATGTAACAGGCCAGTAGGTCAGCAGGCTGAAGCTGTTGGACTTCCTGGTTCTACCTGTTCAGCACACATTCCCCACCCTAGAATGTGGGAGGAGTGTGTGTGTGTATGTGTGAATCTTTACTTTCCCCTTGGGCTTGACTGATACCCCCACAGGCCTGTGAGAAACAGGGCAGTGACTGACTCCCTTCAAACTCTGATCTCAGAATCCTGTACTACAGCCTCTCTCTCACTCAGGAGGCGTCAACTGTCAGGAGCAGCTGCTGAGAAAACGTTCACCACCTGAACTTGGCAGACTTCCTTCCGCTCAGCCACAGGGTTCTCAGAGTCACAGGGGATGTGGTTTTCTAAGGGCGGGAAGTCAACACCTTCATCATTCACCTTCCCTTCCTTTCTCAGTCTCTGCTTCCCAGGTCTGTACCATCCACATACATAGACACGTATGTCCCAACACACATGTATACATGTAGTTCTGACACCTGCTTCTCACTTCTAAGAAAACAGGTCTCCCTAACCCCTAAGAGAATCTTTAGTCTTCTTTTTTTCCCTTTGACTTCTCCATCATTCCAAGTTCCATGTGGCATTTAGTACAAATGGCCTCTGCAGGTACTATAGCACGTGAATTTTCCGGGACAGTCACCTGCAGCTTCTTTCCTCCATAGGTAGACAAGATGGAAAGTTTCTGAAGGTCTATGAGGAAAATGGCAATGGCCTAAGGGGGGCCCACCTGTCACTTACCTCCAGGACTTTTCCTGTGATAAACTGGTGACAAGCTTCACACTTCACCCCAAAGAGTCCCTGGTAGTCCTTTTCACAGTACGGGGCACCATCCCTGAAAGACAAAAGTATATTCAGCTCCTGAAAAGAGGTGGCTGAGGATGGAGAAAGACACCAAGGTTGTCTTTCTGAGCTCTTTCCTAAAGAACAAGAATAAATTCACCTCCTGTGCATGACATTCACACAGTCTTGATTATCTGGCTAGACAAAACCACAGGCCAGAGAGCAAGGAAATTCTGCAGGATACTCAAAGCAACCCAAGAAATCACCATGTGGTTTCTACAACCTGCTTTGTTGATTGTCCCAGAAATCCCAGCTTTGTTCCTCTCTCTTGAAGCCCAGTAAATCTCAGGTGTGGGTTCAGTATTCATCTATGCCTGAAAGGCCCAGGGCACCTTACCTCCCTCCCCACACCATCTTCTTGGACTCACAGGCTTACCAGAACCTTCCCACAGCCCCCAAACACCATCTCCTCAGCTGTCTGGCTCAGCAAGTCATTTACCACAGAGCACAGTGAAAGTACCATTTTTTGAGTGTGACCATGTAGAATGAAAATCTAGGGGCCACGGGGTTCTCTCCGGCACAGCCTTTGGCAGCATTACAAAGCTGGGCACTTCTGTTTTGGGCTGTCCATCACAATCTCTTTTAGGCTCTTTCATCTCTCAATGGTGGCTTCATTTGACCCCAGAGCTAATTTAAAACTCTATTTTTGGGCTGTGGGACCCAGGCTATCTTTTGGGTGATTTCATACATTGAAAAAAATTAAATTCATTAACTATGTTTGAATGAGTGATTTTTTTATAATGGAGGGTTGTTTCTCCCTTTGAGACAGGGTCTCATGTAGCCTAAGCTAGCCTTGAACTTATCAGGCAACGAAGGCCATTGGAGTGCTGAAATTATAGGCTTGCACATTAAACCTAGCTTTATACAATGCTGGCAATAAAAACCTGGACGTTGTGCATGCTAGACAAATGTTCTACAAACTCAAATACAGCCCCAGACCTTTTTGATTTTTATTTTTTGGAGATCCAGACCTTTTGCACAAGGGCCTTAATGCTCTATAACAGAGCTGTATCCTCAGCCTTTAGCTGGGAAAAAAATGTTAATATTTATTTTTATGTGTGTGTGTGTGTGTGTGTGTGTGTGTGTGTGTGTGTGCCACATGTGTGCTGGTGCCTGAAGAGGCCAGAAGAGGGTGTTGGGTTCACTAGAGCTGGAGTTACAGGCAGTTGTGAGCCACAAGACACAGGTGTTGGGAACTGAATTCCGGTCCTCTGGAAGAGCAGCAGGCTGAGCCATCTTTCTACCTCATGGTTGGGAAAAATTTGAAAAGCATAAAAAAAAAAAATATTAGCACTTGGGAGACAGAGGCAGGTGAATCTCTGTGAGTTTGAGGCCATCCTGATCTATCTATAGTAAGTTCCGGCTAGGGAGGACACATAACGAGACCCTGTCTCAAAACAAAACAAAATAAAACAAAACAAAATAGCATAAAAAGATAGAGTAGTATATTCTTCCTCATTAACAGGGTACATTAAAAAACAAAAAAATAAAACAAAAACCCCCAAACTCCACAAGTTTGCTTAGTTCTAGTGCCTACCCACCACAGCTCTCAAATTCCAACATGAATCCTCTCCTTGGTAAGCCCTGGTCTTGCCAGGCTTAGGGCCTAAAATATGTGTTTCTTTTTTCTGGGGGTGGGGATGGGGGTCTAAAGCCCTGGATAAGAAGGCTTTATTGGTTCTACATAGGAAAAAAAAGCAAAAGATAAATGACCAGATGCTTAATTGGTTATAAGGCTTTACTGATTATTAAGTTGGGAAACAGTTAATAGTTCATTAAGCTTATAACAGTCATATCATTACAAAAGCAGAATGTATTTTAATTAATTTTACAGGAAAAAGTTCCTAGTGACACAGGCTAGGAATGCCCTCAGCATGCTTGTGGGAGAGGGGCAACCCCTAAGGGCAGAGCCCCCCTAGGCTGTCCCGCATCCCAGGGCCCAGTCTTACTTGCTGATGTACTCGCCAGTGAGGACCTTCCCGCAGGACTTGCACTTGAAGCAGCCCAAGTGCCACTGCTTGTCTAGTGCCAGCAGTGCCTGTCCATTCTTAATGTCTCTTCCACAGCCAGCACAGTCTGGAAGAGAGCAGCAGCCTGTGGTTATGATCCATTCCTTGCTAAATCCAAGTGGGTGGAACCCCCCTCTACCCCAGGGTGTCCCCTGCACACCCAGTCACTATGTCCTTAAGTACAGTTTCATTCCATTTTATTAAGTCTTCCCTAGTGAATCACAGAACCCACCCTCATGTGGCAGGGCAGCAGCTTAAACCTCAGTGGATACTATGGGATGGATGTCTTTTACCTGTTAGCTCCCTGGGAATTAAGTACCTTTTGGGGTCCAGTTGACCTAGAGAATATTTAATTGTAACATCTTGGCTATGACTTTAAGAAAGCACTCACAGGCTTTTACTAATTGAGGGTGCAAGGGAATCAGCTCAGCATGGATGCTGGGTGCCCCACACATAACTAACATATATGTGTTTCCTGGAATGCTGCCCATCAAACTCATCTGTGTAAATGGGATTCTCCTTCCTTATCACCCTAAACCAGCCTTTAAGATTGGTGATCACTAATTAAATGGCTCTTAAACCTTTAGCTTTACATTTCATTGGCAGATTCTTGAAAGGCATAATAGTTACTTTTCTCGTTGCTATAACAAAACACCTGACAAAAGCAACTTAAGGAAGCAAGGGTTTAATTTGAGGATACAGCCCACTTTGGCATGGAGGGCAATTAGGAAACAGCTAGCTCAGCTAGCTTTTTTCCTTCTTTTATGCCATTTAAGACCCCAGTCCATGGAATAAGGTGGGTTTTCCCACCTCAATTAACCCAGTCTAGAAAATCCTTCACAGTCACGCCCAGAGGCTTGTCTCCTCAGTGATTCTAGATCCTGGAGTACATATGAGGACTACAGTCAGATGCCCTGGTCCTGCACCTGGCTCCTGCCTGTCAAAAGTGGCCCCATAATAACATCTGCTGTTATTACAGTTGCCGTATCATTCAATTATTGCGCACTGCATTCATTGTTAGGCAAGCTGAATATATGTATTCACCTAGAATCACGTAAATGGGTGAATGTTATTTGGAAAGCAACATCAATATCTACAAATATTCAAAATCCATGTGCCCGAGAAAACAAAAGCGAACACCACCACAGGTTGGCAACACTGTCCCCAAGTACAGACACATGCTCATGGATAAAAGCAGTGTCCAGGCAATGTCCTTCACTAGCCATGTTCAAAATGAAACAGAGATGAGGCCCTGAGGTACAGTGTCTGAATACCCCCTCTTCTGACCACATCTATACCTGCTGCTCCTTTGCCAAAGGCACTTCTAGCTCAGCTTTCTTTGACATTGGCCTGCTCCTATTTCCAGAACACCAAGCTAGAGCTTCTTTTGCTCCCTGGAGCCTCCCGGGGGTGACCCAGGACAAGACCTAACTCTGGAAACACTCCCCCAGTCCATCCAGATCCACCCTTCCTCTGGGTTCTCCCTGCTTCTGTTCCTTAACTGGTTTCTTTGACCATTGGTGTTTCTGGTCTTCATGGGCAGCAGGTGTTAACGTACGTTTAGATGCACAATTTCATGTTTAGAACTGTACTCTACAAATATATTCACAGAAGTTGTGTGTGTGTGTGTGTGTTCCCTGTAGCATTTCTGAGACAACAAAAACTAAAATAGCCTATACAGGCTTTGATGAAGTGAATTACATCATAGCTGACCATGGACTACTACTACATGCTGCTAAGGACTGAAATAGGTTTGTGAGCAGATACAGAAAGATGTTCAAAATACATGAAATGATAAAAAAAAAACTGAAAAGCAGAGCTAATGGCACAAGCTCATTCACAGAAAACTAGTAGAGGGGCCAGTAGTAGGGGTTCAGAGGGTAAAGGCTTGCTGCCGAGGCTAATGACTTGAGGTCTATCGCTGGGACCTACACGGTGGAAGAAAAGAACTGACTCCCTCAAACTGTCCCTTGACTTCCAACACTGGTTCTATCTCACACACACACACACACACACACACACACACACACACACACACCACACACGTAATCACTCCATCCAGAAATATTAGTTATAAAAAAAGAAAACAGTACAGAAATAGTACTTCCAGAATAGAACATTTCTAGAGAAAATCATAAAAAATTCTTAAGAATCTGCCCTCTGTGGATGAAGACTTTGTTTCTTCAAGTGGTCTGTGTTGTTTGATTTTCTTAACCATTAGACTGTGGGAAAAAAATGAAAACATGTATCTTTAAAGTTAAAATCCTAAGTTCTAAACATTACAGATTAAATCTCTTAAAGTACAGACCATTCCAAACTGAGTGTGTAGAAGATGGTCCCAAAGTGCTAAGACGTTGGTTTTGGTTTGGCTTTTTTATTTTTAGACAGGATCTTACAATGTAGCTCTGAATGATCTAGAACTTGTTTGTAGACTATGCTGGACTTGAACTCATAGAGGTTCATCTGCCTCTCCCTTCCAAGTGCTGGAATTTTCTATGAGGGTAAAAATAGAAAGCCATAATATTTATTTTAAAATGAAGTTTTAAAATGGTAAGAATATAGTATGGAGTTAAGAAAAATGAACAGTTTTAAAAATGAAGAATAGGGCTGGGGAGATACCTCAGTCATTAAGGTGCCTGCTGTGCTTGCATGAGTCCAGAACCCCAGCACCCATGTAAAAGCAAGGTGTGGGTGGTGCTCATCTGCAGCCCTGGATAGAGGGGCAGGGGCAGGCAGATCCCTGGAGCTTGCTGGCCAGGCAGCCTAGCCAAGTGGTGAGTTCCTCACTCAGTGAGATTCTGTCTCAAAAAATAAAGAGCCATAGAGGAAAACACCTGACATTGACCTCTGTTGTAACACACACACATGCATATGTGCACATACACACACACACACACACACACACATAATCTTTAAAAGGTAAGTACTATTTAAAAATTTATTTATTATTATTTTTTATGTGTATGAGTGTATTCCATGTCATGCAATGCCCACAGAGGTCAAAAGAAGGCATTGTTGGATTCTCCGGAACTGGACTTATAGACAGTTGTTAGCTACCATGTGGGTGCTGGGAATTGAACCTAGGTCCTTTGCAAGAGCACCTGGTACTCTTAACCACTGAGCTATTTCTCCAGCCCCCACCATAATCCAGTTTTATCATATCGTGTAAATAATTTGGCTACCCTAAGAATTCTCTGTGCCCACCTGCTCATTCCTCCTTTCCATGAAGTCCTGGAAACCTCTGAACTTTAAAAATTCTCCATAGTTAGGTCTTTTCCACTATGAAATGATCCCCTTTAAATTCAAGTTGAACTGATCATTCCCACTAGGTGGCAGCAAAGACTTAAAGAAGAAAGCTATTAGAGCATAGATTTTTTTTTTTTTTAAGCAGAAAATAAATTTTAGAGATGGTGTTTTGGTTCCACGAATGGAGCCTGCCGGACTTAGGGAGGACATCAGAGTGTTGTCCATGGTCTATGTCCACAGATGCTTGAGGTCTAGGGAGACGGGTAGTTGAGGAAGATATAGGCATAGGCTGTGGAATCAGGAAGATGTGAGCAAGTACAGTCTCTGAACCCTCATTTCTTCATCTGTAAAATACTGATAATAGCCACTTGCTAGGTTGCATGTCAGGGGTCTGAGCACAACACACGGCATGGTACAGCTGAGCCATGCAACGGCCTCTGTCCTTTGGTTAGTGGCAGAGCTAGGTCTATAACCCAGGCGACTTGGATCTCAGCCTGCTCTTGTTCTTCCCAGCACCTGGGTACCCACACAGGGTCTGAGCACAACACACGGCATGGTACAGCTGAGCCATGCAACGGCCTCCTTTGGTTAGTGGCAGAGCTAGGTCTATAACCCAGACGACTTGGATCTCAGCCTGCTCTTGTTCTTCCCAGCACCTGGGTACCCACACCTCCTAGGCACTGAGACACAGGCAGGGCTGTGCACACGTGCTGTCATTCAGTGTTCCCAGTCATTCTAGCCAAGATCCCTTTCAGTTTGGAAGACCTCTGATCTCACAAATAATATCTAAACCACTGAGATCCACCACACCCTGCCCAGTGCCTCCCCGAGAAATGCACAGGACAGGTCATTCAGTGCTGTATGCTTGAGGCTGGCCAACTAGCAAGAATGAGCTCAAAGGAGAAGCTACAGTTAAGCTTCCGTCATCCCAAGCCTTAAGATGTAAATCAGACAAATCAATAGAGACTGCCTCTTGGGTGAGACCATACCACCCCACATCAGCTGGCTCTAGTACTCTGGTATATTCCACAGCAGCTACCTCTCTCGACAAAGCCATGGACCTCACTCGGGCTTGACGTCATGCTGGGGAAAGAGAGCAAGAGGTGGCAAAAAAGTTGTGTGCTGGATTGTTCCCGTCATTGGCGCTCACTCCAACTAAGTGCTTTCAAAAAGAACAAAATGTCCCAGTCTCCACCTTAATGATTTTCAGCTGTTCAGAAAATTGTTTCCACATCATCAAAGCAGCTACTGGTAAATACAGAAGGATGCCGATTGGCACTGGGATGATGGTGACTGTGGAGCGCCATCAAGGAAATAAAGTCCACTAACAACTTGTCAGCATTCTACTAAGGAAAAACAATGATCAAATGCAAGAAGAAAAGGAAAGCAAGACCCAGCCTTAAACACTGCGTCCCAAGGCCTTTACTTTTGGCACTAAGAGTCAAAGCAAAGCAGGGAGTTGGCCACTCAGAAACAAGTTAAACTAACATCTAAGTGCACACCTGGTTCCATTTTTACATTATTTTGTTTGAAGGCAATAAATCTCTTTAACAGCAGGACTGGGATTCTGCCTGTCTCCCTTCATATGTCTAATTCTTTTTGGCTGAGGACTATGAACACATGGGCGTTGGAAAGATTTAAGTTGATGAAAGAGACATATAGCTCTTAGGAAGGATATTAGCATTCCTAAGCTGAGACATGACTTGGGAAGCATCTAAGATCCCACCAGCCTAAATACCTATATTCTCCTTCAGAAAGACTTCTGCCTTCCTAGAATTTCCCACTTGGGAAAAGTAAGGGCCAAACAGATGTGTAACTCTG